CAGGGTTTTACTCAAGATCAATAACACTGCTAATCTAAGTTGAGTAATGTAAATTAGATTAGAAGATGATATGTATACTCATACTAGGGGTGTGCACGAAGCCGAATACATTATTTGGAAAGGCACGGATAATGGCTTCAAAAACGAATAACGGATAACGAATAATTCTGCCCGAATATTCGGCTGAGGCTGGCTGGCACAGTCTGGTGTCTGCTAGATAACAGGTGAGCCAGGGGATCAGCGTGATATTTTAAACAAACCTATAAACTCACGCAATAATGAGTGTGTGAAGTGAATGAATGTATAAACTTTATGAATGAAAAGAGCGCCAATCAAACACCGCATTCCTGTTGCCTCTCTGTGCATCTCTCAGAAATCAGAGCTTGGCAAGAGTAATATCAACTAAAATAATAAATCATATATGTTCTACTATTTGTGTGTATTTAAAAGGCAATGATTTAAACCTTATAGGCTACGATATGATACATGAATGAATGGAATAAGCACAGTGCTATCGCCAATCAAACAGCCGCGTTGCCGTCTCTGCGCGTCTCTCAAAAACAAAACCAGCTCTCTGTCAAGAGTAGGCTAATAATCAGCTTAGATACAGATACATGTTCTACTAGGCCTACATGTTTGCTTCTTTATCTTCTGCTGGTTTGCGTGGCACACGCACATTTGTTTAGTGAAGTTCAAAAAAAGACTCACTTAAAGAGTTCTGCGTAATGAAAATGTGCGCCTTGAGTTGAGTCGTGTTCACTAAATGTTTGTCATGAAATCTCTCTGCTTGTATGATAAATTTATTTTTAGAAATTATTAATTTTATATTTTAGAGCACTGAATAGGGCAAATAGATGAAACACAATATTTTTCCATACACTGTCCTAGGGCTGGGCGATATGGCAAAAATATCTTATCACGATTTTTTTCAGAAATATAACAATTCTATCACAATTCTTTGTCGTGTTTAACTATTTTGCAAGTTGTCTGAGCAGTAGAGCCAAACTAATTTCCCTATTATAAAGACAAAGCCTTTCAAGGTAACACGATATAAAAAAGAATGGCGGATATTTAGGCTAAAGTGGGCGAAGATAAAAATCTTTGTCATTATTTTATCTTTGTTATTAAAAAATAAGAACAAAGATACACATTACAAATACACATAATATACAAATAAAACAAACAGTGTTTTATTTTCAGGTACAGTAGGTGTATTTTAGCAGGAGCATTCAAGAAACTGAATGAACAAATATAAGAATAAAACACTATATAGATTGATTCCTATTAAAGTTTTTCAGTCAAGAGCAGAGAGTGATTTTTCTCTTTGTGTTTTGTTGTTTTATTAACATTCAAGCAATATTTCACCCAAAAATATAAATTCTGTCATCTGTCTGTCAATTCTGTCAAAGTGTTTTATTTTCATACTATCATTTATTCACTGGAAAGTTGTTTTAAACCTGAATGAGTTTCTTTCTTCTGCTGAACATAAATGCTATTTTGAAGAACATGGAAAACCAAACAGCTGCTGGTCTACAGTGACTTCCACAGTATTTTTTCCTTCTATCAAAGTCAATGTGGACCAGCTACTGTTTGGTTACCCTCGTTCTTCAAAATATCTTCTTTTGTGTTCAGCACAAGAAAGAAATTAATACAGGTTTGGGACAACATGTAAGTAAATAATGACAGAAATAAAATTTTAGGGTGAACTATTCCTTTAATGACAGTCGGCAGCATGTTTAGTACTGTCCCTTTAAGAGCTGCACACATCTATAAAATAAAATACAGGCACGCATCCGTTTTTCTCTCAACTATGTTTAGTTGAAAGTTTACTTTCATTTTAGACATAACCAACTGAGTCTATATGTAAACCTTGTGTGTGTGCTTGTATGACCATAACATTAGAATTTTAATCATTAATTATCAATAGGGCTCTGAAATTTTTTATCGCATTTGTAAGTAATTAAGGTGGTACGGATTAATTTAATTATAATTGCTCTTATGATTGTAATAACATCAGTAGGTAGTAACGACTTACTATCCGTAGGGATTTGAAATTAAGTTAATTTCATAATTAATTACAGGTCTGAAATTTTATTTTACAGTTCCTGCTTCCACATGGCAACAATATTTACTGATGAATTGAATTATAAGTGCTATTATAATTTAAGGACAACAACATTAAAAGTTTAATCTTTAACTATCACTTCTAATTTGACATTTTAATTTCCTTTGCAATTAAGTTCTGCTTTTACCTGTTAGTTTATAAGAGCACTGGCTCATCCAGTTAGTAAAATCCGAAAAGAAAATTAGGGTTTTTCTCAATACTTAGGTCAGTTAGTCTCCTGCTACTAACAGAGCAAAACCAACCCCTTAGGGGTATTGACCCAACAGCGCAACCACTCTGTCAACCCTGCCATTTTTCCTAACATTCGAAGTAACTTTTCTCTCCTTCTTCTTCTCTCTCCTTCTTCTTCTCTCTCTCTCAGCTGTCTTATTCGGATTTGACTGCTGCTGCTGTTTGCTGGGATTTTGCCTGTGAAAATCATGAAGCAGAGAACTTTAGCAATTGAACAGGTATTTGTGAAACTTACACAGACCGACAATCTCATACTCTACACCACACTAACATAACTTAAGTCGTTCTAGAAAGACATATAGCTACCCTTCTCAAACACAACACCTACACACTCTCCTCCGCCGCACTGCTAGGACCAACCTCTAGTAGAGAGGAGTTGTTCCACACATGTGACACTTTCCCTTGGTGTCTAACCTAATTCAGTGTCCTTGTTTCTCTTTGTGTTTTTCTTTATAGCTATATATAAAAAATAAAAAAAAATTCTCTTTCTCTCTCTCTCACTATAATTTCCTTTCCCCTCTAGTCCCCTCATTAAGATATTATCACTGGACCTATTCAAACCGAACAATAGACCGTTCCACTGAATCCAGCGGTGTCCACCATAATATCGAAGTGCGCATCATTGATCACTGTTCTCGCTAAAAATATTTTCTCATAACATGAGATCTGCAGTTCAGTTTAAAGATGAATTATTGTGCACCTATAGCACTCGCTGTCATTAAAAGAGGAAAAGCGATCAAGCGAATCCACTACAAATATATCTAAATTCATATCATTTTGGTTTTAACTTAAAGGACTTTATGTAATTTCAGTGCTTATCTCCATTAATGAGAGTGGAATATTTAATGTAAATGTGTATATCGACATGAAAACGGAGCTTAAAGGGTTAGTTCACCCAAAAATGAAAATTAGCTTGTGTTTTACTTAACCCTCGAAGCATCCTAGGTGTATATGACTTTCTTCTTTCAGACGAATCCAGTCGGAGTTATATTAAAAATTGTCTTTGATATTTCAAGCTGTTTAATGGCAGTCAGTGGGTGTTGCAGTTGAACAGTCCACAAGTCGTCAAATAAAGCTAGTGCATTCATAATAAAACATGCAAACGTGCTCCGGATGATGAATAAAGGCCTCCTGTAGCGAATCCATGAGTTTTTGTAAGAAAAATATCCATATTTCAAACGTAATAAACACTTTTCTCTCACTTCCGTTATCTATCATACGCGGATCTGTTCCGGCGGAAGGCGTATGACGTATGCGCGCGCCTCTGAGATATGCTCGTCTCACGAGTTTTTTTATAGGAGCAAAGGAAGCAAAGTTTCCTTAATTTAGCAAAGGAAAACCAGTCTCCTCTTGGTTTATATCGAAATCCTCCGACATTTTTCTTTGCAAATCTTCGGTTTGTACTTCTAATTCGTGACTGGCGTTTTGTTTTGTTCTCTCTCTGCATCTATCACTAATCACGCAATGCCAACGTCGTACGTCATCCGCTGGAACTGTATTCTGCTCTGATACAGTCTAAGCTTTCTGATGCAGCCGAGGTATTGAACAATCAATCACCCAACTTACCAGACTGTTGTGCAAAAACGGTGGATTTACGCACAAGTGCTATTTCATGCATGTTGATGTGTAGTAGTTGATGCATGTTATAAAAGTGTAGTTGATGAAGTACTTGAAACTGTATTAAAGCATCTCTTGAGCATTTGGAAGCCCGACTCCATTCCTCATCTGTTAATGTGACCGGAGGGTCTCAGGTGCCCAAAATCATTGAGAATTAAATCTTTTTAAACATATTAACCTTTAATATCGAGTTCAAGCAACATATTGAGCAAAAACACATGAAAACTAAAAAAATTTCAAATTTGTAAATAATGAAAAAATTTTGGAATTTTTTTTAGTCCAAATTAATGGGTAAGATTTCTTGAGGAACAGAATTAAATTTTAAAATTAGGGATGATAGCCTGCAGTAACTCGTAGAACCTCCTCGTTGTTAACAAATATTTGTTCGCTCCATTCAAGAAGACGGGTGAAAACATTCAGAGGCAGAATCTCAGAATGAACGTAAATGTAACTGATTCGGTCTCATGTGAGCGATCTGCGACCCTGCTGCCGGAGAGACATCGACCTGCAGATCCTTCTCTGCTTTTCTCCTCTTCTCTTCTTTAGTTCATCAGTTATCTAATAAACCTATTAACAATATTGTTGGCTTTTTGACAAATAGCTTTTGTTCCTCTTTTGTAAATCACTTTGAATAAAAGCATGTGCTAAATGCATACATTTCTTTCTGTTATTTTTTAATTTTAATTTTAAAAGGAACAGTGCACATTGATTAGCATGAGCACTCAAGTCCATCATGTAAATGTGCCAGATTTAGCCATACAGGCTAATTTTCATCTGCAGTCCCATGTGAATGTAAACATGACCCTGTCGAGTGTGTTTGCTCCTGTCGTGATGAGCTCGCTGGGCTCCTAACGTCACGTTTTAAATACTCAGGACAGCAGGGCAAGCTTAAAGAGTCCCTGAAACAATCCGTTGAGACCATAGAGATCACTGAATTTTGCTGAATCCTGTCTTCTTGGATTGCCTTTGGACAGCTTTGTTTATAAATATAAATGTAAAAAAGGCAAAATGTTCCTCATCTTCTCTTCCTTGCCTGCCCCGCCATAACATTAATATTGCTGCAGAAACACTGGAATTAATTATTTATTTTACCAGGACATTTCCACTGAGATGTAAAATATCATCGTCCTGGCCAAAATGGCAGGGCAAATAGTTTCACATAAAAAATTAACAATTTAACAAAAACACAAAACATCATTAAAAATCATATCTAACGCTTAAAGATGACCTAAATCAAGCTCATGTTTCCTTTAGGTTCGACTGTAAAACATGTTAAATACATTTAAAGACGGGAGTGTTTCCAGCAGCTGCATAACCAGAGAGCATAAGAAAGAAGGCAGTTTTAGCAACCTCAAACACAATTGGTGATGTGACCACAAATATATAAAGAGTTATCCATTTTACTCACCCTGTGATGGAGAGAGGCCCAGGGGATGATTAATGACCACATTTAGGTTCAAAAAACTGATTTTTGCCGTTCAAAGGTATTTTTTGCTGTTCAAGGATTCATGTGTCTTGTGTCTGAACACTTACAGACAAATCTGAAAGAAATATCACACTTGGTTATGCTTTCTAATATGAGGCTATACTGTTAGCATGACTGCTAGTTATATAAGTTTGTTAACATGGTAGGAGTGGGTAATTTGAGCCAGCGGCTCACCCCTCCTTACAATTACATAGAATTATTTCACTGTAATTCTACATTATATTTCATTAATTTTAGAACAAACATTTTTGATTTTGTTCTTTTTGAACTTGATTTTGTTCTGAAATTTTTAAATAGGCCTAGTTTATGAAAATTGGACATTGAAGTTTTTGAGAAACTGTATTTCCCTGCAGCATTCATAACTGGGATTTAGCCATATTTTGAAAGTAGTTTTAGACCTAAAGTGATTATTCCCAAAGATGCTCCACATCCTGAAATTTCTGTCCACATTTAAGTCAGACCCATTCCTGGCATGTGCTCGTTTTAAACACACAGTAAGTAAAAACTGGCTCAACCTACCCCACTCTCCCCTAATTCGTGTTAAAGTAGTCATTTACACCCTGAATGGTGCATGTGTTCAACACCAATCTCACAGGATAAAGTCACACACTTCTGCTCACACAGATAACTCTCATCAATACTAGTCCATTACTATCAGCTGAGAGTTTACTCTTCAAATAAACGCCTCTGAATATCTGAACAGCGACAGACTGCAGTATAAAACCACAGATATACCTGTCGATGTTTGTCAGGTGAGGCGGTCAGAGTCCGCCGGTGACGTCACGCCGGTGATCGGTGAGCTCGCGGAATGCGGAAGCGGGACTCATTACAGCTTGACAGGTGTCGTAGCAGGTATGTGTCTAAACCTGATCATTAGTGACCTTACTGTTGCCGTTATTTGCAAATACTAAATACATCTTTAGAAAATTGCCATCGGCTTATCTTTACCGCAATACCTAAAAGCAGGATCTATCACATGACTTTATTTGTTGTTGCATTTGAATGGTACGCTATTTCATATCATTGACTTTTATGTGAACGGAATACGTATTTTGGGTTTATTGACAATCAGAAGTTCCTTTAGTTGTTCAGATCTGAGAGAGAGAGAGAGAGAGAGAGAAAGGGAGAGATAGAGAGAGAGAAAGGGAGAGAGAGAGAGAGAGAGATTGCTGCTGGTGGGCCCCAGCATGACTGATGAGTTTGGAACAATCGTCCGCCCAGCTGCGTTTTCCATCAAACACATTCCTCTCACCTCACGCTTTCCCTCTGTCCGCCTCATTCACTCTGCGGCTGTAAGCAGAGAGAGAGAGAAAGGGAGAGAGAGAGAGAGAGAGAGAGCTGTTGTTTGTCCAGGGCGTTTCGAGTTACCGGATGTGGATTACATGGAGTGCGCAGTTTCAGAAAAGAACACAAATAATTGTGTTTTACGCGTATTTAATGACTAGAAATGTAGTTGAATTTAAAAATCATAGTTATCTAGAAAAAATCATATATATATATATTATTTTTTATTTTATTTATTTATTTATTTTTGTTATTGTTGTTATTATTATTATTATTTCCCATTTGCTTTGCAAATGTGGTGAAGTGAGATTCCTCCTATCACAATTAACCTGTAAAATAAGGTGATCCTGCAGTGCAAATGAAATTCAGATACACAACAGCAAATCTGAAAACAGCAGGCTATACATCAGAAATGGCAGTGCTTATTAAAGAAAGCATGTTGATTGGACAGAGACTGTGAGGCCAAAGAAGGTTGGACAACATTTGTAACATTGGGAAATATTTTTATTCGGCATATGGTTTAAAAAAAAAAAGTTGATTAATCTGACATTGGCTTTTTTCTCATCTTTGTAAACATTAGCAGTAAAATCCCATATCATTTGACCTTTGCATTCAATCACTTTTCACATTCTGTTTTATAACTGTTTTATAACTCCAGTCTGACGTATCCACAGTCCAGAAAGCAGATTTGCTTTAATTGTGTATTTGTCTTTGGCTATTTTAGGCACTGCTTAATGTAATGCAAACTGTTCCTATA